TAAGACATGATCAGGTAACTTGACCAAAAGTACACAGTTGAAAATTTCAGAAAACATATGTGCAAAGTTCTAAGACTTCAAATTATGGAGAAACCTACAGTCAGTATTTCCTGACATTATTTACTATAGGACAAATACTTGTTATTAATTTAAATTCCATCAAAACTTCAAAGTGAGCTGCATGCCTTACACAATTTTTGAAGGGAAGCCAAAAGCAATAGTAATACTAATATTTCTGAGAAAAATGTTCGTTTCTCTGTGTTAAAAAAATCTTATAATTGTTTACTAAAAAAATTTTAATTGCTTCCACTTTTCAGAGCAAGAATTTGAAAACAGGGTTGCAGTGCTGCAGACAACATGTTCTTTGATATCCTTTTTAGCAAGTCTCAAACCTAACTTTGGCCAAGTTTATATATTTGGACCACATTTACTCAGAGGACACTGAGAGTCCAGCAGCTAAATTCTGCCAAAGTTTAATGTTCACTCAGTATGTTCTATATCTAAGCTCCAGACTTTCCCCTCTCATCCTTATCAACCTGACAGCTATGTCTAGAGCTGCCTAGGAATAAGAAGTGAGCAGATACTTCTCCCATGTCTCTCTCTCAGTGCCTTCCATATTGTATCAAGTAGAGAGAAAGAGCAGGAATCCACTTTCATGGGACAAACTGGATTAAACTAAAGGAGGGAATACACACAGACATGGAAACCACTAGCAAAGTGCAGAAGTAAGACTGCTCCTAGAAATAATGGCACACTGGTTTAAAGATCAGAGTAGGTAACCTAGTGCAACAAATGCTATGTTAAGTATTACTAGGTTAAGGAGAGTGATACACAAGAAGACAGACAGGACAGAACTAGTAAGGATAACAAAAAAGGGAGTGTGATCAATCCGTCTATGTTTTTATGAAGCCACACTTCATATACTTGATATTCAGATTCCCGCTCCTCTGTGGACAGACAGCTTAGAAACTCACTAGCAAAACATACATCTTATACTTGTCAACTGACTGACCTACGGAGGGAATAACTATCTATATCATGGCTATAAAGTACTTTTGCTCAAAAAATCAATGTGTGTATATTGTAAATCTAAAGAGTTTGAACCAAATGGATATGCAATTGATGGTATGCAAGGAATTTGTTTTTTCTTGCTGTTTTGCTCCATTTTGTTATTCTAAAGATCTAGGATGCCACATCTAACTGCAAAGCTAAACCACTAGAATTATAAACCATAATTATTCCAAAGTTAGTAGATGACACAGTTTGTTGTATGTGCAAACACAGTTCAGCTCATGGTGCATTTATATCATGATACCCCATTCCATTACCCTATTTTTCTACGGGACATTTTCCTATGCAGTGCATAACTTGAGAAGTGCAGTGGTGATGAATTAGTGCTGTGTAACAAAGAAGCTGTCATCTTTAAGACTCCTACTTCATTTGTCACAGCAACTGGAGCCTATGTACGTAAGAAGTTAAGGCACGAAAGTAAGAGAGGAGAATAGTATCAAGATTACTACAACAAAAAGCTAGAGAATTAAGACTTTGTAATTGCTACAGGAATTGCATTATGCTGAGGAAGTCATATAAGTAAAGTTTATAATAAGAGGTCACTCCTTTGGTCTTCATTCTCCAAGTGCTCCATGAGTCACACAGCTCTATAATGTTGTATATTTGGGAAAAAGACCCACCAAAACACATCCTAGACAGTTACTGTATCAGACGACTAGAGTACACTGAACAAGATGAACACCTAAATAAGAATGTGCTTCACTTTTCTCCAATTCTCAAACATTAAAATGGAAATCAAATAACAATTCGCTTCACTGGGAGTGAGGAAATAAATTCTTGTTTGTGAATCCCTTGGAGGTAATAAGGAATACTAGAGAAAAGCCAATGAGGAAATTACTCAAACCCTGCCTTGATGATAGAATTGTTAATACAAGAAAGGCAGAATACAAGCCAAAACTCCCAAGTCAAGTGAGGATAAAATATTGCAGATTTAGTCAGTACCAGCAGGTTGCCTCTTCCCTCTCTTCAACAGCTTAAACATTAGGCATTAAGTCTAAGATATTAAGAGCACCCACAGTGAACCATAAAAAAAAGTTCCAAGAAAACTCCACTTGAGAGAACTCCTTTTCTGTGAAGATAGAGGGAGACTAGACTATTAGATCACAGGCCTAGCTTTTATATTGAGGGGTGGGGCAACTCCCCCACTGTCATCTTTGCAGAGAAGGCCCAAATTCAATTCTGCAAATCACGAAGTACTATAATTCATGAGAAATCACCATAAGAAGTCATAAAAATGCACTTCAAGAAATATTAACAGAAATGTAATTAAAACTGGGTAATCTTCCAGTTCAGTTACTAAGACACTTAAAATTTTCATTCTCTGCAACAAATACTGAGGAAATAAAATTATTCTCTACCCAGAGTAATCCCAACAGAATCCTCTCTTAAGTTCTTATTAGCTGTGAACCATCAGACCTTGCCAACACCTGTGTTACTATGAGGAGAAGTTATTCATTAGCAGCTGAGAGTGTAGCTGGGAGCAGTCATTTTTAAAATGTGTTTGCTATCAACGTCAGCTTCTTGGAAGTCTCTCAAAAGCATATCTGAGGCAGGAAAATGTGAGTACATGCTGTAAGGACTATGTATATCTGGCCTCATTGGTAAGCACAGCTCTGACAGACTGTGGCCCCTGCTACCCTCAGTTGCTTTCCATTCAGCAAGCTAAGAGAACGTGATAAGGCCTGAAGACAAAACGAGAAGAGACTGAAGGAGGAATTGCAGACAGCGTAATTAGAACTCTAATTAGAGCTGATTTCTTTTTTTAATTGAAAACTGTGTTGCACAGCAGTCACACATACTATGCTGGTTGTAGGTGAAAGAGAGGAAGAGTTCACCCCCCTCCCAGTTCACTCCCAGCAGTTGGCACCAAGCTTCTATGCCAAATTTTTACCTGCTCAGATCAGATATGAAAACTTCCAAAGTAACTGTTAGCCTGGGGTAGTAAAAACATTCCCATCCAGAAAAAGACAACTTAGTGACTTAGATCATAGAATGCTTTGGGTTGGAAGGGACCTTAAAGATCATCTGGTTCCAACCCCCTTGCCATGGGCAGAAACTCCTTCCACTAGACCAGGTTGCTCAAAGCTAAGTTAGATCACTCTAACTTAGAAAGTAATTAAACAAGCTGTCAGCTTACACATCTGAGGAGATATGGATTGTGAGCAGCTGGAGGTCAGTTAGGGCTGGAAACGACTTAGAACAGCTCAGCTGTGATTAAAAAAAAAAAAAGTGTATGTGGGGAGGGAATTAACAGACCCTATCTTTAAATACTGAAACATCATCTTGGAGAATGATGATTCCTTACATATGCTATATTAATAGGTTTCCTTAATAAGTTTATATTAAAGATAAATAGTGGAGCTGAGACACTATTACGTTTGCATAAAAGAGGGTGCATACATAACTTCCCTGACGGTGGTCTTGTTTAGTTTTTTAAAGTGTACTTCCCACATCCCAAAAAAATCCAATATTAACCTATCACAGACATGCAACTTTTCAATTCTTTTATTTTAATCAGGCTTCCTTCTACTTTCTCCTTTTTCACACACACATTATAAAATATGTATTTTGATTTCAGAAGCAATAAACATGTTTCTACCTCCACTGAATTTCAGAGATGAGTATATCTGTGTAACACTCACCCTGCTGGATTCAGAGAGAATTTAAAATTTAGCATAAGACTTTCCCATCTGAAGTCAAATCAATGAACTTCCAAGACTAACAACACATCTCAGGTACTGATTAGCAACACAAGATTCAAAATCTAAATATAGTTTCATGCCACTCTAATTATACATAAAGATGACCTTAAGGAAGATTTATACTAACCCAGAATAGGTTAGTTAATTTCTCTCTCAACTGTAAATATTTGTAATATACATGAATAACTGAAGACTGTTTCTGAATCTTAACAAGTTCTTTCTTAATAATCTCAGTGGTAAAAATCTCAATTACTGGATAAATCTTATCAGTTTTTACATTTATTGTCACGGGTTTTTTTTCTTTGTTCTGCTACAGCATATCAAAACATACATGCTTAGTACTACTGATCTTTATCCCTTTCATCATCCTTTTGTACAATCCTAGATTTCCTAGATCTCTCAAGAGTGTTCAAATATACAAATTGGTTTTTTAACTGGCCTCTTTCAGGACATTTACTAATTTCTGCTATAATTATTTTAAGCAAAAAAAAATATGATTATGTATAGTTATCTTGCAAATTAATATGTAACATGGTAAAATCATGTCTCTGGTACTATTCTGCACCTCTTTAAGTATGGTCCAGCATTACAAGACTTCCATTCAGTCTGTGTAGTGTGATTCCTCTTCCCTATACAGTTGCAGCAGGCATAAGAAAAACATCCAGCAGAAGCAGTACCAAAGCTATAAACACTGTTTCCTTCATGGCCTTTGATACAGATAAATACAGGGTAAGGCAGGAAAACACCAAAGAAGCAGCTAGTGCATATTGCACACTAACAATCCCAGACAGATTATATTTACTTGAGTAACTCTCCAGCTGATCTAAACTGCTCCACAACAGAAGCGCTAAAGTAATCCCTCAATTCTATTAGTTCGAAGAGGAATAAATTGTGCACGTCAGTTAAATTCTGTTCATCTAGTATTACCATGTGATTTTTGTCAACTAGTTCAACAAATATTTGAAAAAATAATGCTGTTCTGGAGTTGCCATAACCACTTCTAACATTTTTTTAAAGAGAGATATCAGCTTAGTGCTCTGTTGTTTAAAAAATTTGATAGTTTATTTCCAGTTTTGGTCCACACCATAACCATAGCTGTTGTAACAATCAGCTGCTTTATCCAATGTCTCCACATGTTAATTTCGGTACGTCAAGAATTAAATTATTCCTACAGTCCTCTCACTAAAACAAAGCAAGCACATAAACCCCCCACATCCTAGTACATACCTTTATTCTATGAAATCGAACAATATCTCCAACTTTGTAAATTTTTGGTAGGGAATCTAGATTTCCATTAAAAAGAGTGCACGTTAACTTCACATTTGATGGGTCCACAAGTGTTACAACTGAGCAATAATCTGTAAAATATAAAAGTGTTTGAATAAATAATAGGCACTATGGAGTTATTAATACACAGATATTAAACTTGGGATGAACAACCATATGGCCAATTTTTTTCTGCTATGACCTGTGTAACTCTTCCAAAGTCAATTTAGTTACAGTAGCATAACAACTGAAGTGTGGCCCATCTTGCCAATAATTAGCTCAAATAACTGAAAATGAAATGGGTGATTAAGTCCAAGTCTGTGAGCCAGGAACACACAAAACTTTTTCTTCTGTCTGCAATGGGATGCTACTTTTTCATGTTTCAATTACTTCCTCTACAAAATGGGGAACATATGTATAATCTTGTACAACCCTTTTCTAAGATTTATTTTTGCACTATCTTCTGAAGAGGTAATGAGTTCTACAAGTTCTTAACGCAAATTAAAGCATAAATTGCTAATTTTTCCACTTCAACAAAATATGCAAGATGTATACTGCAGACTACAGTCACACAGTGGTAGTTAGAAAGTATAGCAAGAATCTGAAATGCGCCCTTTTGAAGTTAAACTTCATTAATAGAATTTCACTTCTATTAATGATCTAAAAAGTAAACTCAAAACGAGATACAAATATGACAGAGCAAAACAGCTCAGAATAGAGCAGTATTTGCAGATGACATAAATGAAACCTTTATTTTCCATTTGAGCTTACAGCAGCATGTGTGCTCAGGTATCTTACAAACGTAAAACGGAGCAAGAGTACACTTGCTCTTTCACAGCGTGGTAGCTGGTTAACCTGCCTGAGAACTTTTCAAATACCCAGTATCAACTTGGCTGTATGTTTAGAACCTCAAACACCCACACATCTTGTCCTAGTTGCTTTTAGTCAAGAAGACAGAGTGCTTTTGTTTTGGATACCTATTATGCTAGCATTTACCAAAACTTACAGTTCACGGCTGAATTACAACTTTTTCAGCACATCAGTAGAGCAATGACATCATAACCTATTATTTTTACCTTGATGACAACCTTGATACATTTATGTACACAACATTTTGGCTTTTAGAAAGAATTAGCAAGATCCTCAAGCAAAAAGCACAATTTTAAGGCATTAAATTAACAGTACTCAATGATTTACAATTCAAAATTTCTAAAGTTTGAACTCTTGCAATGGTGAACTCTCCGTTGCTTTTCCGTTTGTGCATACCATTCTTAAACGTCAGAATAAGGAAGTAAAAAACCAGTATTAGTAAGAGTGGAAAAAAAATTTAAATCAAATAATTTTGTACTTTTCCACACTGGTATAACACTGATTTACTATTTCTCATAGCATTTTTCTGTAGTCTGAAAAGAGTGGATGTATCTGAACTGTTTGCAATGCGCACAGTGCTTTCAGACTGGAATCATGAATGAAATGATTTTGCTATTATTCGTTCTGACTAAAAAAGTATAAATCACTAGATCTGAATTACCCAAAATGCCTGGGCACCTCTCCAATTTTCTAATGCCATCTGCTTTAACTCACGTTTTTGTTTTCACAATCCTATTTTAAGAATGTACGTTTTCATTGTAAAAGTCAGTTTATTCATACTGCAGACCTGCATATAAAATGCAGACATACCGTCTAGAAGCAGAAACAGTTACTCTATGTACAGAACCCCTTTACTTCTGCTATAATCTCACTATTGTGGACCCCCATTTAAACTAAAAGTTCTTTACCAATTTTTATGTTGCGTTTTGGTAACAGCCAACAACAGAATCTCAACACTGTAAAAAGTAAGTAGTTGTAACTCTTAGAAACAGACTTGCACGAAGACTTACATCCATTCTCTTGAGGTACCAACAATAGGAACACTGTTCAAGATATAAAACTCTCTAAACAAAGTAACACACAAAGACATGATCATAATTCAGCAAGCATCAAATCAACAGTAAAGAAGCAAAATTAACAAACAAGGAATAAACCTGTTTATGAATTCTATTGCTGATATTCGAACAAACTACAGAAACTGACTATATAAAACTCCAATTTGAAACAACTGACCAGAAGCTTCTTGTTTGACAGTGTGAGCTTTCTCAACTTCTATAATGGTGAAATTACCAGAAGACTGTAAATAAAGTTCAAGGTCGAAGCGATTATGGCTTGTGGGTAAGCCCACGCCACAGCAGATATGCCCACAAAAGGACTGGGGCCCATGGAGGAACCCACATTGGAGCAGAGGACACCATTAAGATGGAAGGTATGGAGGGAGGCGGTCACAGGGAAGAGTAAGGAACAAGTAGCAGCAGAAAGAAACTGCTCTGTACTAACCCCAATCTCCTGTGCCACCCTTTGCCCCTCTAAGAGACCCAGTGTAACCTGCAACAATAGCAAGGGGAGCGGAGACTAGGAAGGGGGAAGGAGAGGTGGCTAGAGGGAAGCTGAGCCTGGGAAAGGTGGAGAAAAGGTGTTTTCCCTAAACATTTAAATGTTTCTCTTCTTTGTTTCTCAACACCTGAATCATAGAATCATAGAATTGTTTAGGTTGGAAAAGACCTTTAAGATCATCAAGTCCAACCGTTAACCTAGCATTGCCAAGTCCACCACTAAACCATGTCCCCAAGCACCACATCTATACGTCTTTTAAATACCTCCAGGGGTGGGGACTCAACCACCTCCCTGGGCAGCCTGTTCCAATGCCTGAGAACCCTTTCAGTGAAGAAGTTTTTCCTAATATCCAACCTAAACCTGCCCTGGTGCAACTTGAGGCCATTTCCTCTTGTCCTGTCACTTGTTTGTTTCAGGTATTAAACGTTTATGTAAACTGGCAATGAATTAAATTCCACAAGTCAAATTTGTTTTGCCTGTGACACACACCTTTTCAACTCTCAAAAATAAAACCTCAAACAAAAAAGAAAAAAATCCAAACAGATCAAAACCCCCAACTTCCCTTAGCTACAATTCTACGAGGCAGTTAGTGATAATGACACTACACCAGAGTTTGCATATCTGGGAACTGAACAAAGGTGTCACTACGCTAAACCAAAGTCAATAAAGTCTCCATCATGCACTTTATAAAGATACAGACACAGAAATTGTTGCTATACAGCTTTGAATGAGAATACTATCAGTTTACTACAACTGACAGATTTGCTTTATATAAAAACTATAGGAAGGCAGTCAAGAGAAGACAATTGTCATATGTAAACTCTGTGAACAGATTTCCCAAACACGAAGACAGATATGTTAGACTGGATTAAAATACATGCTCGTACGTGTGCTGCCTATGCTTTCAAAAGAAATATTCTGCTGTTTCCAGCAAATATGCTCAAATTTTACTATAAATTTAAACTTGAAAGTTTAAATTCTGTAATGATTTGAGTGAGTGAAGTGTTGAAAGAAGAAATCCAGTGAAGGCTTACCAAGAAAAATAAAACTACTTTTCCTACAGATATAAAACCTATAGTATTTCTATAAAACCACTACTCTTCTTCCTCCCTGAGATTTTTACACAGACTCAATAACGATAAGTTCTCATCTATTGCACTCAGAAGTTACTAAGCATCATTCTTTTGCACGCTCCCACCAGAGGCACAAGGTCAAGCGTCATATAGCACGTATTCTGACATTCTGTGCTGCGGTAAGCAGACGTGAATAAAGTCTAGTCAGTGGCGGACAAAACTGCAAGTGTTTACTACTGTACTCCAAAGACGGATTGTTGTATTTCTTTGGGTATGAATTCTAGAGGTTAACTTAACAGGTCAGCTGCAAAGTGATATGAGCAAAATGAGCAATTAAGAAGAAAAAACCCATATGGTTTGTGGATTTACAGTCCTTTGAGGATAACATGCTATGGTGCATTGATATAATCCAACATAGGAATCAAGAGTGAAATAACAAAAACATTTTGCATTAAAATTGTGGTTACTCTTTGATGCTGTGATTATATACTCTAGTCAGCTTCAGCTGCCTATTTAAGGGGGAAAAAGTTAACACACTCTCCATTTTCTGTGCAATTAGCATACTCAAAAGACTAATAATCATCATACTCAAAGTAGTATAAAATATTATACTTGCTTTATATAGTCAGGGAATACCTTCTACATAATATAGGTTCTCTGTCTCTGTGAATTTAGAGTTCCATCCTTAACTATCACCTCAAAACATCACTCCTACAATAAACCTAATTACAATAGAGCGCTTCAAGAACAAAGCATAAAGACTGATTTTCTTTTAAAGAAATCCTCATCCAGCAAGTCCTTTTTGAAGGTTAAAAATAAAAAGCCACCTGTCTTCCCTTCTCCAGCTGGAATGTGAAAATTGCTTTCTACTTTCCATAGCAGCATTATAGTTCAGTGATTGAATTCACTTTTCTGCACAAATAATGAGTCAAACTCTAAACAGAACTGCTGAATTTAAACAATGTCCCAGTGTTATAGGAAACAATATAATAAATGCCATTGCTTAGACTTTTGATTTTTTCACAATATACTTTCCAATAAAGCAAAATCTCTCCGTTACCAAGCTAAAAAAAAAAAAGTTTACATATTGGAGTCAATTTTCCTTTACTAGATAAATTTACTCCATTCTCCACTGATTAACTTTTCTTAAAGAAGGGAAATTTTACCACTGGTAATTTTTACTTGTAATAATCTGGCTTAAAATTATGACACAATGGATGCACAGTTCAGCAAATTTATAGACTTTAAAAGAAAGTTTTTACTTTCATACTAGATTGACTCAGTAAAAGCACTGGTTTTAGGCTGATACTACACAGAACTCCAAACTGTGCCTTATGTTTTTTTTTAAAATATACTGAATTATTATGAAGTTATTATTATGAATTATTATTATTATTACTTAATTATTCCCACTCAGGCTTAATATCACGTGAGGGACCACCAGCAATCTGTGAGGATGCTTGTAACACCTCAAAATTGGTGTTTATGAAAACAACAAGGAGAAAGAAGTGATGTTTGGTTTAAATGGAAGTAGAGAGTGATGCATCTGTCTTACATGCTTCTTAGATCCTTTCAGACTAGTCGTTACTGTT